CAAGCCTGCCCCAGACCTATCGAAGCAGGATCTCCGTAAACTGTACAAAGCTCTACTGCCTAGAGAATCACTGCTAAGGAACTCATTCCTTCCAGGGGAATGTAAGGCACAGGCCCAAGACAGCTTCTTGCTTCAGTCTAAGATCCACACAGCCCCTCAAGAAAATAAATAGATGTCTTAGGGTAGCTGTATGTTGTCTGTGAGAGTTATCCAAGAATGTAAGAAACATTGGTAAGTTTCAACCTGAACTTGAAAATGAATTTTGTTGAGATAACCAGTTGATTTAAGAGGCTAAAATGATACTGTCACAAAGTTCAGTGACAACAGTACTGTGGTTTAAAGTGTTTCTGTGGCAATCCTGTTTCTGGAATATCATCTGGTCCCCTTTTAATAACTATTGCTAAACCTTATTGTTACCAACTTTCTTTGAGGTTATAAGATCCCACACATTCTAAGTGCAATCACTTATATTGGTTTGTCATTTTGCCATGTGCCGCTTGAGTGAACAGTATTCCTGTTCCATTCACAAACAGGGGAAAGGTTTAAGAGTTTGCAAAGCCTGACTCAGCATTCCCTCAGAATGACATTTAGCCATAGGGTGACAAAGTGAGGAACTGACCTCTTCAAGGTCTGCACATCTGGTCGACCCCTCTTGGGGTAACTCCTCCTCTAGAGAGAGGCTATACCATGTATAAAAGAATAGAATTCTGTTCATTTCTGTTAGTGTTTAGGACAAAAATGGAGCAAGAGTCATTTTCCGGGGGTTTATCTCTAAATTGGAGAAAGGGCATACAGAGAGGAGGGAAGCTGGGGTGCAGTAAGAGACATAGAAATCCCGAGTCACACTTAGGGGAGGTGACCCAGGAGACGAGGTGGTGCAGACTGTGTAACTGTGTCTTGAAAGGGCATCTGCTTATTTCCCTCTTCTTCCAAGCAGCTGCTCCAAGCGGCTGGTGGAGTTCAAGGGGAAACGTGCCTGAGGCTAATAGAAAGGGCCCTAGGCTAGGTTTCTGGCAAGCTGGTGCTGCAGGGACCTACCAGATCTTCATAAAAACAAAACAAACCCAAACGCCCAAGCCCTCACCTTCCTGGGCCTCACTTTCATTCGTCAAAGTAAGGCCTTGCACGAGATCATGGGTTTTTCCCACGGGTCCTTCCTTGGTTTGGGGGACGAGTCCGTGAACCCCTTAACCACATCAGTAAGATGGTACCTCTGCCTTCTTGTGCACCAATTGCTAACAAGTCCTCCTAACCCCAACTCTGCCTTCCCAAGATTGTGGAACAAACATTTTTTACACTCGAATGTTTTTCAACTTCCTCTTCGGGGTACCCCGTTTACCACCGAGATCAGTTTTCATGGTTAGCTTCCTCCCAGCAGGGCAGGCTGTGGGATGGCCTTTCTCGCTGACCACCCAACCTCCGACCGCGGCCGGGAGCGCCCAACTGCAATCTGACTCCACCGCCTGGCCCGCAACACTTTAATTATAGGAACAGTTTAACAGTTTTAGAATCCCCAAAGGGTTCCAAACAATCAGAAACTTTCTGGGGCTTCGCGCAGGGCACTTCTGCTGTGCTGCCCCCAGGTGACAGCTCCCGGGATCCCGGGGCTCTGGGCAGGGGAGAGTAGGGGGTCGTGGTCCGCAATGAGCCCCGTGCTAGCGCCCGCCCGGCCCCCCAAGGGCGAGACCAGCGCCACGGTCCGCACCCGCACTCACCGGGCCCACCTTCAGCTCCCTACCCTCCTGTGCCGCTGGAGGTCGGCCAACTCTCTGATGGGCTTCTTGGCCACAACTGACCCGAGGGCGTCCACCCCTCTGCTGCGGTCTGGCTAGACCGGCCAGAGGTTTGGAGTCATCTTTCCCAGGCACACTGGACCCCTTCTCTTGGGCAGGCCTTCAGGAGGTTAGGACACTGGGACCCTTTTACTTACTGGCGTGGCCCATAATCACCTCTGGAAGCTTTGTCAAGCCCTGTTTTATCTCGGACTCATTGCCACGGAGGGTAGAATTTTACTGGTTCTAGGTCTTGAAAAGGGGGTAGGGGATTAGC